TTTTTAATTGTTTAATTTGAACAGTTAGGTCTGACTTTGCTTAGACAAAAGTCTTGTAACTTAATAGAAATAGTGTACAGTATAGAATATAAAGTCATAGTGCAGTAATAAAATAATGAATATTGTGTATGACTCCCATGAGCTTGGAGGACCACATCCATTCATTTCTGCAATGACTTAAAAAACCTTTTAATAAAGTCATCTGGAATGGAAAAGAAAGCTTTGCTGCAGGAGTTTATCAAGATTCTTTGGATTTATCTTTAATGCCTCCTCCTCCATCTTAAATCTGGATACTGGGCTGGCCAATCCTGGAGCACCTTGACATTCTTTGCTTTCAGGATCTAAATTTGCCCTCTCCTGTGGTTTGTAATGTAATGGGCAGCACAAATGTCTTGTTACCTTGAGCTGTTGATGTTGTCATACACCCTGCAGATCTCTCGCATGGCCCCCATACAGAATGTAACCTCAAACCAGGATTTTTCCTTTACCAAACCTGAATTTCTGTGAGAATCTTGGATGCATGTGGGTTCCAAGTAGGTCTTCTGCAGTATTTGTATTGAGTGGGATGCAGTTCAACAGATGATTCAACTGAATAACTTTGTCTGAACCACTTTTTCAAATGATCAGTCAAGTTGTTATTATTTGCTCTTACAACTGGGATTGACAACAAGACTTTTGTGAGGTAGTTTTTAATGGTTTTGTCCATGTCTCTTCATTCTACTTCATCCTTGTCGCCCACCTGCATGTCCAGACCAATCTGCCCATATCCATTCATCCATCTTTTGACTCTCCATCGGTCTGACTGTGCGTCCATCCATTCATCCATCCATCCATCCATCCATCCATCCATCCATCCATCCATCCATCCATCCATCCATCCATCCATCCATCCATCCATCCATCCATCCATCCATCCATCCATCCATCCCTATAGCTACCTACCTATCAATCTACCTATCTACCTGCTTTTTTTTTACATCCGCCAACATACCTGATCAATCCATCCATCATCTTTCCAAACTGTTAAAATATCATCAAAGCATTGACAAGTAATTTTTAAGTAATTTTTTGTGAGTGAATAACTTTTGTTTTAAACAGACAGATATAAAGCAGTGGTTCTGCAGCACATCAAAATTTCTTCAGTGTTGACAGCTTCATTATAATAAAAATGATTCAGAGTTTTCAGTTCAGACAGAGTGTTACAGTAGTGTTGCCCTTAGTGAAATATTTTAGCTGTTCAGTGCTGTAAACAGCCAGTGTGTTTGGGTGGTGATTGGGGTTAGTTTAACTCCAATAGCTTTAATAGCATCCCACAAACTGAGACATTGGTGGACTTGGATTTCTGTTTGGTCTGTGTTTTCGTTGCAAGTCAACTGTGTGCGTGTGCCTCTGGGTTTTGCGCGTGTGTTTGTATAAAGGGTGATAATTGTGCTCATAGGTTTAGAGTTCGTGTGAGGTTTTAATGAGAAGAGCTCACAGGAAGCTGTCTGATTGAGTAATGGCTGCCGGCTTGGCATAAAAGCCTGGCACTAACAAACAACAAGACTCAGAAGGAAAGAGAGAGAGAAAGAGTGCCAAAAAAGTCTTCCATACACACTCAGGGCCCATGCACACTCGTTTCGCTCTCTCTCGCGCTCGCTTACTCTACGCCCTTCTTCTCCTCCAAGAGACTTAAATTCACCACTCCCCCACCCACACGCATTATTACATAGCCTGAAGGACAAAACGCAAATTTAATCTGTGATAAGCAGAACACAGGATCAGCGCATCAAAAATACCCTGCACCTTTTCTGCTGATGCACCAGGATTCCTGCACCCACGGAAACCCAACCTTCCCACCTGCAGCCTTGGGCTTTCTTGGACTAAACTGTTGGTGCTGGACTAAGTTTTAAGTACCTTAATGTTATGGTATCACAAGCAGTGTGCATGAAGCATTCATGAGTTTTTAGCATTTCCCTCTTGCAACTCATGTCCCTTAAGTGCATTGGCAACATTTGGTCGGGTGTGGTGCCAAAGAAAAAAAAAGATTGGGATGAAAATGAGGAAAGAGGAACAGGAACAGGCGGACTGTGGACACAGTTTTGTGCTGCACACAACTGTAATGAATACTTGCATATAGTCGCATCAGTATTAATACAGCTCAGTGCTGAATGACACTGTTTATATTGGGTTTCAAGAGTTCACACTTAACTCATGATTTATAAATAGCTTGTTATATGCTGTCCCGGGAGAAACCCCTGAGCTCAAGGAATCCTCGGGCCCAGGGCTCCCTACCTTTCACAGTGCAAAGGAAAGATTGAGCTCAGGTCGATATCAAAACTGCCCTGCTGCTGAGGCTAAGGTGAACTCTCTGAGAGTAAGACATTTAGGAAAAAATACTTATTAAGAGGCTTATTTTGTCTATAATATAGGACAAATTTGGACAGTGGAGGGAAACTGGGGAACCCAGGGAAAACCCATGGGGACACAGGGAGAACATGCAATGTCTGTGGAAGGGTTGACAGGTGTTGCGCACAGAACGAAACGGGTAAACTAGGGAAGACTTTCCACTACTTAATCAATCGCGAATGTTTGGTTATATTAGGCGAATACGAAAAAGTGTAAAATGATGGTAATAACAGAAAAAAAAGTGTCACTAAATATACTTTTTTGGCTGTTAATATACCGGGGTGACCCGCCCAAGTAAAGTCTATGTGTGGGAAACACTGCAGCTTAATAAGGGCTTAAATGAAATGATATCTGTGCCTCATTAGTCATCTAAAAAGTAAGCAACCATCTAAAAAGTACTATTTCAATGACCAACGAAAGTTTGGATACATTTGCACAAACAAATTCAAGAAGTCTACAGGTTTTAAACTTTTTAGTATACTTAGATTGATTGGAATAGGTGGTAAGTGGATGGAAAGAAGGACAGAAGGATGGACAAGTGTAGGCAGGTGAATGGGTAGGTAGATAGATGTAGATAGGTAGGTGGATAGATAAATAAACTGATAGGGGAGTATTCAAATGGATAAAAGGATGCATGGATCTATAGGTTTTCTGAATGGGTACAGTAGGTAGATAGATGAATGTATGTATGGGTAGGTGATATGAGTATGGAAAGGTCGATGATAGGTAGACGGTTAGGTCACACTTTATTTTGATGGTTTGTTGAATTTAAGTTACTTTGCATCTACATAACAACTATTTCTTATTGGATTATTAGTAGACTGTGCGGTTGGGGTTTGGGATTGTGTAAGTTGACATGTACTTGCAAAGTTTCTCATAGTCAGTTAAATGTCTGTTGAAGGAGCAGTATCAACAGATAATAAGCAGACAGTTTACTAATACTCAAATGGACCATCAAAGTAAAGTGTTACCGATGGTTAAATTGGTTAATGAATGCATGGATAGGTGGTTGGTTGCATGGGTAGATACTAGGTAGATAGGTTGTAGGGAGATAGGTGTATGGCTACATGTAGGTGGATATGCATACTAAGTATATGTAGATAGATGTAGATGCATTGCTAGATAGGAGGATCAATGGATGAATGGGTAGGTATATAGGTGGCTTGATGGGTATGTGGGTGATAGAGTAGATAGGTAGATGAACGATTAGCTAGGTAGATGGATGGAAGGTTAGTAGGTTGTTGGTGGATGGATGAATGGCAAAGTATATGGGTTGGTGGGTGATTAATTTGATAGTTGGATGAATAGGTGTGTGGGTGGATAGATTGATAGGTGTATTTATTTATTTTGTGCACTAAGTTAGAAGATCAGTTCATACTGTATCTAGAATGCAGAACAGCAGTATGAATTAATCAACTAATTGACTAGTCTTTCAACATTCACACAGCTTTCTGTTCTCTCATATTTCCTTTATGCATACACTAAATACTGTTCATACATGAATGCACACAGACTCACACATTTAGGCGCACGCAGCATAGTATAGTACAGAATGTACAGCACGTTGTAAAATAAAATGCATTCATTTACAACAGTTCCTCGTGACCTTGTGAACACTCTCTGTGCCAGACAGATAAAGGCTGATCAGAAAGAAGCTGATGATCCGGAGAGCTTTAGCAAAACACAACCAACAGTAGGAGTGAGAATGAAAGACAGTGAAGCTCACTGACTAACTGACTGTTTTGCTTTCTGAATGACTGCTATTGTGGACTCATACCCTCCCCTGCTCTTTACCAAAATAATTGACATGTGGGATATGCATCTGCCAACGCGCACACACTCAAGTATATATATAAGAGAGTTCTCCTCCCAAAGTGTGTCTGACCAGTTTTAAGAGAGGTTATGCAAACATCTAAGTTCTGGATTGCTAGCAGACGTCAAGAAACAAAGGTTGAAGGAATAAGAGGACCGTCACCGGACTAATATAAAGAGTTATGAAGGATAAAAGAAGGGGAGAGGTGGATTAACTTTGACCCAACCTTGGAGGAAGTTGGGAAGTTGCTAAAAGACTTTGGGGAAAATCGAATGGAATCAGGAGGTCACCCGAGGCACAGACCTGGAGTTGTGCTGCTACACATTGAATATCAGTCTTGCCAATCACAGTGTGTGTTAGTGAGGATTCCGGCTGTGCTCAGTATCACGGTGTGCTTAGAACACTAGTATGATCGGCTATCCAGGGCTTTAAGACACCTGCACAAAGGCACATGCGGTTCGATAATACATTACTCTTTGTTAGAGATCATCCTGGGCTTCTTGTGCTTCTACCGTCGGTGATTTTTAGTGTTTTAGAGTCAAACCTTTCAATATTTCACACATACGCTGTAGAAACACGCTCACTCAAAGTGCTGGCACATTTCTCAATCAGTTACAAAGGAATTGCAATGAATTGAACTTGAGATTTTAAAAATGAAAGCCTGAAATAATCTTGATGTTTTGCTTCATGCAGTCTAAACTTTAATATCATGTTGGATTGGTTATAGAAATGTTTATAGAACGTAAACAACGTTGAGCGTCTACCAGAAAATCTGCTTCTTTTCTGAAGTTGCTCAAATGTGGTTATTTAACATCTTTCAGTTTAAATACTCCTTTCCAATCTGCAGAAAACAGTTGGCAGAGTAGATAGCGCATTGATTTATGATTGTTCCAGCGAGCCAGACTGTGTTTGCGGTATCACGGTGTCATTCTGGCACTGAGGTGTGTGTAGTGACGAGGTGAATCTCAGCAGGCTCTACCTCATCACCAAAGACAAAAACAAACTCGCAGAAACAGACAAAGTGTTTGGAGGAAAAGCAGGACTTTCATCAGCGATTGGGATTCAAAAATCTGTAATGTGGTTAGCCGGCTACCGCTTCAGATACAAACCTAACAGCCTTCTGCATAACAAGTATGATATTATCTAAAAGCCACTTCTCCGTTAGTGTTGGTAGCATTCTCATTTGAGTGGTGTGACAGTAAAGTTAAGTGTGGAAATTGCCACGTGAAATGAGTTTTTTTTTCACTCCTGAACATGAAGATGGTACGCTTTTAATTAGCCGCCTTTGGTCGGTTTGCTATCGCATGCGATATTAGGATTCAAACGCAGTCGCTAAAGTGATTTAGTTAACCCGGCACTTAAAGAGCTCTGGTGTTTAGTGTAGTAATTTTGCTGCGGTTTCAGCTGTCGGCTGTGTAGCGTGTGCTGAATTGTGCAGTCATCAACTACAGAGGCCTCATTGATCAGCCAGCGAGCCTCAATACACAATGAGACCAGGCCAGCGATCTCTCCTCCTCTCCTCCTCTTCATCCCTCCTGCTGCGATCCCTCGTTCTGCTCTCCCTCTGCCGTGAGTCGTCACATTTCTGGCTTTACTTCTCCATCTGTCTCCTTTCTGTTTGTAATTTCTCAGCACGCCTGGAAATGAATATTTCTCCCTCTGTCTGTAACCGTATGAAACCCCAGGCTACTTTCATTTCTCTTCATCTTTCTCATCTGTGTCTCGGCCTCTCCCTCTCTCTTTATTTTTGACGGTCTCGATCTCCTCAGACACTTCTCTCTGTCCTTCTCTCTCACTCCGCCTCGGAGGAAGATAATTTATGGGAAGGAGCGGAGAGATGCGCGTGTGAAGAGAAAAGAGGATACGGGGAGAGGAGAATGGAGGCCGAGCCAGCTGGCAGATTTATGATTGAGGGATCAGAGAGAAGTGTGGACCAAAGACAAAACAGATTGAAAATAGTGGTGTCATGCACTTTTCTCATTCTCTCTTTTTTTTCTTGATTCGCTTGGTGCTTCTGACGAGAAAATACACTTTAAATATAGCGTTTCTGTTTTGTTTTTGACAAATTACCAGCTGGATATGTGAATGCAAATCTAATAGCGTTTTTCGTTTAGTATGCAAAGAGACCCGGGTTCAAATCTCAACCTAATAGGCGCTTTTGAAATAAAGCAAGCAAAATTGCGGCAGATCTTGACAGCTTGTGATCAACCCACATTTTCATTGTATAGAAAAGATTTGACATTTTGATAATGACTCTGTTTTTTGTGCTCCGGTGGAAATAAAGGGCACATGAGTTTAGAGTGATGTGATGCTGGGTAGAAGATGACAGAATCTGCTAGGGATTGACCAATTTATACGCTGCCATAGCACTTTGCCTTAGGGCTGTGCAATTTGGGGAAAATATCTACACTGTAAAAAGTTAAGGTAACTCAAACCATTTGAGGAAACCAATTGCAACAAACCATTCAAGTTCAAAAACTAATCCTTAATGAGTACTGTGAACTTAATCCATTTGGGTAAACGAAACAATTTGAGCTTAGTAAAAGCCAATAAATGAAGAGAACTCACACCAAAACTTAATTAGTTAAGGCAACTCAAACCGTTTGAGGAAACAGATTGCGACAAACCATTTGACTTAAACAAATTTATATGAGTAGTTTTAACTTACTCCATTTAAGTTAAAGCAAGTATTTAATTAACTCATTACCTTCTACACTGTTCAGCTGTTGAACTTCGGATCTCTTTTCAGATAAGTAGAATTAATTTTCAGTAAGTTTTGGGTTAACTACACTCATTTCATTTGATAAAGTTGACTGTTGGGTTTTACAGTGTACTGATTTACTGACGCTATTAGAAACGAATGTGTTTTACAGTTATTCCATGCTCTTGGCTAATCTTAAAAAAAAATCTGTAATTTTACAGTTTATTTCTGGAAGCTGGGGTGCCGGAAAAAAAAAATCTATAAAATAACGGGCATTAAATTACAGAAATGTACCCTAAAATAACGAATATTAAAAAACAGAAATTTACCAGAAATTTAAATTTAAGAAAGTTTCTGTAATTTAACATCTATTATTTTACGGTATATTACTGTAATTTAACAGCCGTTATTTTACAGTTTTTTTCCGGCACCCCAGCTGCCGGTAATAAACCGTAAAATTACACATTTTTTATTTACAGTGTATTTACAGTACATATATTTTTCAACTATTAGAATTTTAAAATAAGTATGTTTAATTTCATTAGCAATCATTTTGTATATGTTCATATATATATATATATATATATATATATATCCATTTCAGAATTAAATATAGGGGAGATACAGATAAGAGAAAGAAAATAATTGATGATAAGAGAAAAAATACATATTGGTCTACATTGCATAAATGCCCACATTCCTCAAATGGTTTGAGCTACCTTAATTGTTAGAATTTTAAGATGTAGGATTATTATTAGCCTGGTTGTTAGCCTGCCCTGGAGCAGGCTAGCTTCAAACAATAAGTCTCCATAGTAACTGAGTTTACCCTCCTTTCATGCAACTGAGTCAAGGCTAAATTCAGCCAGGATAGCCTTAAAATCCCAACTTAATCCTTACTTTTGTGCGATACCCCTCTGCTTTACTTTATTTACACTGTATTTTAGGATAGAATTTAAAGATGTTGCATATTTTATGATAGTACTTACATCCCAAACTGTGCTGGGCTAAATGTGCTTGTTTTTTGAGCAAACTGTACAAGTGATGCTATTGTAATCAGCAGAGAACTCATGAAGAGCTGATAAAATATCGTCACCTTGGGTTCTATCTGCATTCTGAATGATTTTGAGATATTGAGCTTGAAAGTTTTTGCATTCCTTGGAAAACAGTATGTGTGTAACATTTGTTTCTTTAAATAAAAAGTCCTAAAATGTAAACAACTTATAAAAAAACATACCATAATGTAAATAAGTAGTCATTTAATAAGAATATATCAATAACTCAATTTTGACAAAAATGCTGGAAGGAACCTCATAATTCTAGGGTGATGAAACGTAAATGAGTCAAAACAGCAACGTTGTTGAGGAGGCAATCATTATTTTATACTCAAACCAGGCCTGTTGAGAGTGAAAACTTCTTTAAACTTGTACATGTACCATGAACTAGCACACAATAAAATACAAATTAATTTATAAGACTGTTAAATACAATGTGAACTCTCCATTTTACAGCAATACCAATTTAACTTAGAGTACAAGTAATTGAACTGCTGTATATTTAATAATTTACAGGCAAAATTGTATAGAATTAAACATCAGTCTTTTATTAGCAATCAACCAAAACATTAGTATTTAGTGTATTATGGTGTCAGTTTTAACATCATGCTAGATCATGCACTATTTATTGGTCACTAATCATAAACATTTATTGCATGGATTTCAGAATGATAATTGTTCCTCAGTCTCATTTTTAAGTTTCATTACAACCTGTTCACACACTGAAATATAAATGAAAATCTCATAAAGTACATACAGACCCCAATTTACTTAATCTAACTTAATTGCATACCGGTTTCTCCCATAATAACATCCTATTTTAATCTTCATATTAAAATCCATGCATATTGCCACAAAACATAACTGTTAGTGTACATCGTTAGGCTGGTTTGATCTTTTTTTGCAAGCTCAGAGATAAAAAAAAATTGGACAGCAGTTAAAGTGCCTCAAAACCCACTAGGTAATTAGGCCAGAAATTTGTACACAGCTGGTGTGTGAAAAGCATTGACATTCTGGATTTGGATGCCAATAAAATCCCTGATTACCTCCGGTAAATGTTGAAATTACCTTACATCCTCAAGAGAAACAAGTACCATGCGAATAGGACTAAGCACAGCATTTTAGACTAACGATGCTTCTGAAAAGAGAAATAATTCTATTTTAGTGAAGGTCAATGGAGGGGATGTTGAAGATGAAGAAGCAAAGAAAAGTAATGACATGTGGAAAACTCAAGCAGAGAGCAGACGGTTTGGTAAAAAAGAAAGAACAGCGGAGAGTTGTAAAACAAGAGATTGAAGTTAAGAGGGAATTGTTAATACAACCATTAAAATGAGCAGAACACCAGGGAGGAAGGAAACGACAGTATAACAACGATGAGAACGGGACAAAATGAGCAAAAATACAGACTCTGTAGGGACACAGAAACGGCAAGAATGAAGGAAGCAGATATGACAGTGGTTTTATGAAGGATAACCTCAAATTCACTCAGGGACTTCTGCAGTTAAAGAGAGCACGTATTCAAGAAGAACCTCAAGGAAACGCAAGATTGGCCATTTTATGGTGTAATTGCTGTTTTTCCCAGAGTATGTGCACTTATAGCTCAGCAAGGACATTGTTGTTCCTGTTCTCTGTGACTCACTAGCTCAGGTTGATGTGACAATCTGTCTATACTTCAGACTTCTCTTGCTGTTTTTCCTCAGCTTTTTTAATAACATCACATCCTGGGGTGCTGGAGCTCATTGTCAACAAGAGAAAAAGTCAACAGTCTACGCTGAAAAGCTAACTCAAACTTAAATTAAAGATCTGAAATAAGTACAGTAGTAACATATTTATTATTGGACAATATCAGGGTTTTTTTCTGTCAGGAGATATTGCATTTTACATGCTCATGTCTACTAATTGAACATTTGAAATAAAAATATACATTATTTAATTTGCTAACTCACATTGTTATTCTTAAGGTGAATAATTAACACATGATATAACGATGATGTGACGCTGACAACGGAAGTGCAAATCCAAACACAGGGTTTTATTAACGGGATGGTCATGCAAGCAATGATCAACACAGGAGCAAACTAATGTACAGTATAAGGGCAATCCAGAGTCCTAGTCAAAAAAAAAAAAAAAACGGCAGATCATGACAAGGCGGGCAGCAGGCAACTTAAAACAAACAAACAATGTGAGGGTCAAAAACATGGCAAAGCAAGACAAAGATAACACATAGTAACTAAACAAAAAAACAAGACTCAGCAACATAATGTGTGTTTGAGCTTTACTTATAGTCTAGGTAATCAGTCTGTGAGCAGCTTCAGCTGTGTGAGTGTTTGCAATCACTGGTGACTTGGTGCAGGTGTTTGTATGTGTTGCATAACTAAATATGTAGTCCATAACATGGCAGATTTGTAGTTCGTGTGAATGTGAGTGTTTATCAGCAATCTCTGGTTGTTAGATCGTTGGTGATCGTGACACATGAAGAGTTTAGATGCAAAAACCTCTGAAAGCAATTAGATAATTCTTTCTAGAATTAGCATTTTTCTTAAATTAATGTGTGTAGGCTCAGAAAGTGTATATTTTTATATAATGACAATAAAGTTCTTCTCATTGCCTTTAAAGGGAAATATCTGAACATAAACACAGGAGGCTGAGAAAAATGCTCATTTTAGGTGAAAATTTCAGACAAAAAGCTTCCCTCAAAAAATTACTTTTGCTGTTTTATCAAACAACTTTAAAATGAGGGATTTAAAATGAGTTGAAACAACACAATTCTTAAGTTTTTTTTGGGACAAAAAACAATTAAGTTAATCAATTTGTGT